CACACAAAGGGGGTATATAATTACAAAGAAAAAATAATTAGGCAAAAGAGAGAAATCTCCTCTTTGAACCCGTTTCCCGCAATTATCCAAACAAACAGAAAATTCTATTCGTCTTTTCGCCGCTCTGAAAGAAAAGCGTAGTTTTCTGGGAAAATTATCTTTCTTTGCTGCGCTGTGTTCATGTGGGTTGAGATTTTTTGCTTTCAGTATTTTGGTTAGTGTGTTGCTTTCGATATGCATATATCCAGACATTTCTTTTTTGTCGGGATTTTCTTTCGTGCTTTCAAAGTAAGAAGCCATGATGAGTGAACTCTTCATTCATGGTCACGAAATTATTTGAGGTCTGAAACTCGTGACACAAGCCCCTTGAAATTTCTCGAGAATATTCCAAGGCCAGAGAGAACCGCGAAAATTCTTCCTTTTGGATTCAAATCGACAAAAGTTTCCAGGTTTTTTTTTTCAGAAAAACAGTTGTGTCTCTTTATAATATCGGAAATAAAAAGGACTCGAAGAAAACCTATCTGCGCGCGGGTATGTTCAAAAAATGTACAAGTAAAGAGTTGGAATTAAATTATCTTGACTTTGATCAATTTTGATAAGGATTATAGTAATTTATACTTATTATTGAAAGAACAAATGAGATAAGCTTCATTTTTTTCCTTGCTTGCACTTTTGTTGTTGAATTTTCCTTGCTTGAATAATACTGTAAACTTTTCCTTGATCAATTTTTCATTGCTTGATCTTTTTTATATGTACATATCTTATTATCCAGGCTGAAGTTTTTTTTATAAATTTTTCCTTTCCCAAAATTTTGATAACTTTTTCAGTTACACCAGAACTGCATACAGAACTAGTAAACATTTTTTGCTCCAATGTTTATGCCATGAAATACAGGAAAAACATTGTTTAAAAACTTGTTGAAATGAATGTTGGAAAAAACTTCGGCATGCCGACGATTTGGCGCCAGATTAATTTTAAACAATTGTCTTTTCCGAAAAATTTCTAACAGCTTCTGCTGGAGCCTGGGAACCGAACCCGAGTTTGATTCCCAGGCCCAGCAAGGACATCTTCTGAATAGATTTCTTAATCTGCGTCCTTCAGCAACTCTTTTCCTGTTCTCCAAATTCAGCATGATTTTCATCACTCGCATTCGAATTGTGAACCTGAGCAGATCTCCGAGCAGAGAAGCTTTTTCATCTTGCAAAAACTCCGAATTCCAAAATTCTGACCAAGTGTTTGTCGTCAAGAAAAATACAACTCGTTCAAACTAGGACTTTGTCCCAGCTGATTCATTGAGCTCTTATTCATAAATTTAACACTTCACTCTCGCAAAAAGAACTTCGATTCATATCTTCAATTCAATCACTCCTTTTTCTATTTTCACACCCATTCTATATCACATTTTTCAGCTTTGTGAGTTTGTCTGTTCGACATCTCTTTTTCTCACAATGAATAAATCATCACATTTTAATTAAAAAAAACAACTGCTGCTCTTAAGTTTCTATAGTGCTTACCCTTTAAGTCTATCCTGTGCTAACTATTAAATTTGCCAACATCAGATTTCTGTATGAAAACCCTCCTCCGCTTTATGAACTATACTCCAAATCATAAATAAAACTTGAAGACAGAAAACAGACAGAACGGTATACAGTAAGGGATCCTGCAGGTGCCTCAGAAAAAACATACATTGTAGTAATTTTTGGCCACAGGATTTTTAATGGTATTAGACACTAGCCTCATATTAGATCCAAGATGCTCCTTAACATTACAGTTAGTTTCAAAGAAACAAAAGACTAAGGCCCTCTTAACTCCAAGGTTAAGTAGGAGTGTTAACCTTGAAGTAGACATAAAGTAGAAGTTAACATACATTAGTCAACATGAATTAGAGAAAAATAAAATCCCCTGCATGCAAAAGCACTGAATTAAAATTATTGAATAAGTAAGTGTGACTGACGTGCTTTCATAAATTGTTATCAGAATTCTAGCAAAATGAACTTTAATTAAAATAAGTTGATGAAATATTCAGTTTATATAACCTATGACTCCTATGCTAATTAATATTCACTCAAAATATTTTAATAAGATTCTCTTTTTCCCACTGTGACAGAAATTGATGGAATTCAATGAAAAAAATTATAAAATGCTTTAAAGAAATATTATACAAAATCACAGAAAATTTTCTTAGCATGTCATCACTGCATTTGCTCTATATTTTAATTTCTCAGAAAATAAAATGAAAATAATTTCTCCAAAATTCGTGTTCGAGGTCATTATAAACTACTGTATAACTTCCTATACACAAAGATATACAGTACATATAACCTGAAATAAATCACAAGATTTTTCTCTGCCAACGAGGAAAAGTTGAAAACGTTGTCTTCAACTACTGATTAACAGGCTTCACTATCCTATATATATATATATAAATTGACAAATGTCTTGAATCCGAGCCCAATAATAATGACGAATATATTGCGTCAATATTTAAGCAGAGCGGGTCATTAAATAATTCGTCTCCTTCTGAGTCAACTGTCTGCATCTATATTCAAAATTACTCGGATTTGACGCGTAATTACACAGAATTATGCCTCCAGAAGTGATTAATCAATAAACATTGCAACATGATGCATATTTATATAGGTTGCATTTTAAACACTGAATCATCCTGTGCTTAAAATTCACCTCGAATATAAGAGGGAAGAAATATTGCGACCTTGACCATCATTGACCAGGTAAAATAAAGATAAAAATCTACGCAAATTCTCTCGCCTTGATTCTCAGAATCAACTCGTCGTAAATCTCGACAGAAAATTACCGACTCGATGCATAATCATCATCATGCGGGTTTTCTAAATTCCATGTCGAATAAATCATTTTGCGTCACAGTTGGATCCCACGGAAAGTTGCTCGCAATAAATGAACAAAAACATGCAGCAAAATCTTTTTTCTTTTGAAAAAAAAGGAAAAAAATAAATCAAGCATCTCCGAGATGAAGATTTCCTTCTTCTTGAGAAAGAAATTTCTTTGACATGTACCGTTTCGAAAACACTTCCGCGTTTTTTTTTTGCGCAGTTCGTTCGATGACCCGCATGATACGTGTCGAGTACTTTTGAAAAGCCCGCATTGTTGTCTATGGAAATTAGTCTGGCAACCGAGTATTTAAACCTGACTTTCCTCCCCAAGCTCAACATTCTTCTGGAACATTTGCCCAGCAGAGGAAGAAAATTCGGGATCACAGAACAAAAAAAATTAAAATCGAGAGCACAGAAAAAATTAAAAATTTGGAAATGAAAAATTTAGTTTGATATTTTTTATCATAAAAATCTCGAAAATGTGCATTCAGTCAGAATCATCAAAATATATATTTACACACTTCAAAAGTTTTATAATCAGGAGAAATGATTATTTTGTGATGCTGGAAATGAATGAAAATTGATTCTTTCTTCACTGTTGAAGTTGAAACATCTTTCCACCAAATATTTTGTAATAACTGCTGCATTGAAAAAAAATTGAATTAATCGTGAAGGATGCATGGCTGCTTTTTTTCTTGGACATCGGAATGAAATACATTTTTAATAAATCATTTTAAACAATTTTTAGCTCATCTTTATTTCACAGGAAAAACCTGTACTGAAAAGCTTGAAAAAGGTGGTGATCATGAAATTCTTCTCTGGAGTGATTTTGGCCCTTGTTGCTGGACTTTTGGTACAATTGGTGACTTGTCAAACCAAATGGAAGCCTGTACTTAGTGGCACTTATGGTAAGATCATCTCTGCTTCATCAACCTCATTTTTCTTCTATTGAAAAATATTTTCAAAATTTGGAGATTTGTCTAATGAGTATTTTCAGTTGGTCTATTTTTAGTTCAGCAAATTTTGAATTTTTCAAGTGAACCTTGGCAAACCTGGTTCTTGATTTGGAAACAGTGTTTGGTTTTAAATTGAACAATTCAAACCAACAATGAATCAATGCTGAAATTCACCAATTTCAGGAACATGTAGTTTACCTGAAATAAAAAATGAGCATTTGGAATCCTCACTTGAATCTTTATATGCAGAGTCATGAAATAAAATACAAATTTTTGGTGTAGACATGTTTTGGCTTGTTCTTTGGAACATGAATATTCATATTTTTATTTTGCAGATAGAATGTGCAAAAAATTTAGTAACAAAAGATTATGGATTGTCATGGTTGATTTTCCATTCAGCTTTCTGCACCTGTTGAATGGCTATAGGCAGGCAAATTCACTAAACTTTTTCTGCGCATCAGTAATATTGCACCTGACTGATTTTATAATGGGATTTCCTTCACAAGGATCCTTGACTTGAATAAAGATACAAAAATCAAACTATCCTCTCAATGAGTTCACTCAAACTTACTTTCTCTATTTATTTCTACACTCAAGTTTCTTGTAATTGATAATCTTTTTCATTGACAAACTATATAGGCAAGGATTTAGCCAAGTGCAAGTCCAGTTGGGTCCAGATCAGCCTTGATGCAGAAAACAACTCCAAATCAGTAGCAGATTGCATGTTGAAGCTTGCCTATGCTGTGGGGCCCAGACTTTCAGACCCTGAAGGAGTGCCACCAATTGGTCTGAAAACACTGGATCCCATGAATGTGGCCACAGTGTCAGTGGCAGACTCTGATCTGCTGAAGGGAACCTTGACTGATGTCAAAATATACAAAGTTGCTGACCATTTGGCTCCCACCTTCTCCTCAATGAAGTATGTCCTTTCAAATACTGTCTTTATACTTAGGTACTGTACCATACAACACACTTTTATAAGCAGAATAATTGAGCTTCAGGACTGTTTTTTTGGGGAAAATTTAATAGAAAAACTCTATCCCTGCACAAATTGAATATCCCAGTTTTTCTGTATTTCAGTTACCACAATCTGTGAATTAAAAATATCTAGGAGTCCTCTCTTAGTTTCACATAGATATTGAATTCAATTGCAAAATTTGTTCTTATACCTTCAGAAAGCAATTTTGAAAAGCTGGAAAAAATCTGAATGTAGCCTTAAATATACTGTAGTATAATTCAATTGAATGAACTGTATTTATAAATTTAGATTTTTGTATCTGTTAGCTTTAAAAAAGTTGCATTTTAAATATTAATTCTTAAAATAAAGATGAGACTCTCTTATTCTCCAAATTAATGAGAATGGTCTCTCCAGAACCTTTTACATTACAGCTGAAAGTCATATGATGATCCAGGAAAATCGTCAAAAATGATTTCAGACACTTTCTTTTATGAATGAAATACCTCACAAGAAGTGATACATCAAAATGAATATAAAAACTTTTTAAGGAAATCTAAATGCTAATACTGTACTGTAAAGTGGTCAACTGCCCTGGAAATCAGTCACTCCAAGGATACACATAATGAGCTGATTACTTTATTCATCTTTGTTTGTTTTGTTAGGTATGATGCTAAATCCAAGATTGCCACTCTTTCAGTCAAGGGAAAAGATGTTCCTCTAGAAGGGAACTATGACCTTGAAGTGAATGCTGGAGCCCTGTTCAGACCTGGTTCCACTGGAACCAAAACCAAAGGATTCCTTTCTGGAATAGCAAGTAAGTAGTCCATCTTTAAAATGAACTCAAACTAAAATACACTATAGTCAGATCTTCATTGTTAATTGTGCATACTTCTGACTCCCAACAGAGACTCTTGCTGTTGAAGTGCGCTTGTTCATGAGGCAAAAGAAAAATGGTGGCTTGTCCTTGTACAAAGTTGACACAAAGTCCAAAGTTGGCAAGGTTGAACTCAACTTCAAGCCTGAGAAGGAAAATGACCCCCTGGGTGAGGAAACACAGCACAGATTAATGCGCATTTTCCCACTCATGCAAAGGATAAACATTATTCTCTTCCCCTCAGTTGGCATCCTCAACACCATCGTATCCAACCCAGATGTCGCTGGCAGTCAGAACCTACTCCGGTGAGGTTGGGAGTTGTCTCTTTAGAGGTTTCAACACCCGTGTAACATGGTGGTCCCGACCTTCTTTGAGAGTCTTGAAATTAAATTATGTTTATTTTTTTGTATTTAAGGGTAAAAGAACTTGTGAAAACCATTTTGTCTCCCCAATTGAAAGCAAATCAGTATTCAGTGCTTTTTGCTTCTCATCTTCCAAATTGTAAAGTACAAGGTTTGTGTTCTGAAAAATGAAAAAATCCTGGAAAATATTATCAATGATGCATCATTTTCTTTCATTTAGTAAACCGGCTTTTTTTGATTCTTTGAAGTTTAACTGTATTTTCTGCAGAGTTTTCCAACAGGTCAGCAGTCACATGATGAGGCTGACAGTTTTTGTGTTGGTCTGTGTTGCAAAACTGGGCTCAGGAGGCAAAGTTGTCCAGGGACCATATGGTAAGTATTGCAGTTGCACCTATGGAGATTGATTGTGAATCTGAATTAAAGCAAAGGGATGAATGAGAAAGTTTTCACATTATTGCAATAAGAAAATTAGCTTCAATTTATAACCAAAATTCTGTATGGTTTTAAAGAAATAAGCTGTGAAGACTCTCAAATGCTATAAATTATTCAAAATTAATAAGAGCAACTTAGAGCCAATATTTCAAATCATGAAAAATTACCTTGGAACATTTCTTGACAATACTGGACATTAAAAATCTTGGTACTTTCCTGTTACCTCTGTACCTACTTTCCTGTTACCTCTGTACCTACTTTCCTGTTATTGCTGTACCTTCCCTCTGACCAATTTAACCTGACCTAACCTAACTTCACCTAACCGCCGCCCAAAATCAGTTTCTGCTTTCTTTGGGTTTCTGCTGAAACTTATTTTGGGAGGTGGTTAGTAGAAGATATTTGTAACTAACATAACCTGACCTAACCTAACTTTACCTAACTGCCTCCCAAAATCAGTTTCAGCATCAGAATGCGGAAAAATAAAATTCACAGTTTCTGGTAGGTTGTTGTGATTATGAAGTCATCCTAAACATTTGTCTGGATGCTAGTGCAGTCTAGTGATGAGGTACAGAGATAACAGGCAAATACCAACATCTCTTTCATGTGTGCAACTTTAAATTGTTTCTTTGTTGCCAGTTTATATCATGATTATAAGCCAACTGAGTGCCCTGAGGATTTTCTGTCAAAAAACTGTATTTTACTAAAATAACTTCCATAACTATCCATAATTTTAATTCAAATAATGCAAAACTTTCTGAATTTTCAGGAACAGATTTACTGGCTTGCAAGGCTGACTGGATCAGAGTGAGCCAAGACCCCAACATGTTTTCCAGCTGCCTGGAGAAGTTGCTTTTGGCTGTTGCACCCCAGGCTTCTTCTCCTGAAGGCATCACTCTCCTAGGGATACCATCCTTCAATCCCATCAAACTGGACAACTTTGAGTTGCCAAGAAACATACCACTCAAGGGCTCTGTCAAGAATGTTGTAATCTACAATGTGACCAGTGCATTCAACAGGGATCAATCCTCAATCATGTAAGTAATGCCTCTGTTAATCACAATCAAACATCAATTTGATGCTCTTCTCATTAATTTTTGCACAATGTTACAAATTCTTGATATAACCCTTGGATGGTGGCAGGTCAAATTCCATCCTGCATCAGTGCAAAGAAATGTTTTGTACATTTGTGCATTTTGGTTTGACCAAAGGTCATCAAAGCAAAGATTTGGCTGAGTAGCAAAACTCCAGAAAAAACAAGGGAAGGTAATCCATCTTGTCTGAAATTCCTCAATGCTAATCCCATGAAGGGAAGGTGAAAAAATGCTGCCCAGCAGCCAGCAAGGTTTAGGAAAATTTGTCTGCCAAAATAGATAAGAAATATGAATTTTTCTGGATTAGGCCCCCCTGATCATCCCTGCTTTTTTATTTTTTTTGTATGCCTTGTGCCACAAAATTTCAAAAACAAATCTCATCACTGCTGCCAAAGGATCAACATCACTTTGTATATCAATGCACACTTCCTTGCAAAAAAAAGGTGCCACTTGATTGTTTAGGATTATAGGACAACAAAGACCACAGTTGAATGGTGCCACTTATTTGAGGATTATACTTGTTCTAAAGTTCAAAATATGGTTGTAACCTTGTGCAACAAAGTTAGGATATTTTTCAAAAATTTCCCTCTAAGAAGTCTGCAAATAAAATAAAAACAATTACTGAACCAAGGCCTAAGTCAGGATGAAGTCTGATAATTTTTTTATAACCCAGCAGAAAAATTTCGCTCAAAAATAAAAAATTCTTCCCAGTGTGGCATTTTTCAGGCATTCCCAACATAGGATTAACCTCGGGTATTTCTTGAGACCATGGGATTTTCATCACCCACATTTTTCCAAACTTAGCCCTTGGGAACCTGGGGGCATTTCAGTGACCTTTGGTCAAACTGAAATGCCCCTCCCCCTGAAAAAATCCCAACTTTGCCTCAGGACAGTCCTGAGGCAATTATCTCTGCCATCCAAGGGTTAAATAAAAAACTATTAACCTAATTCCAGATTTTCAAAAATGCCATCCTATAAATTTTTTTTTGCACGCATCTTTGAAATAAAAACAGGCAAATATTCAGACAACAAACTACATTATGGTTTACTGTCTCAAAGGACATTGCACAAAAGTATTTCTTGTAATAACATTTGTCATGATAAGTGTTTTAAAAATAATTCTTGTCACATGGACTGCATTTTCATAGACACAATGGAACTCCCCAATCAGTGTAAACAAAACTGTGCAGAAATCAAGTTAGTTATTCAACAAGTCCTTCCAATATATGGGCAAAAACCCCACTCCATCACATATTTCACTGTGACACTGACAATGCATATCAAAATGTGTAATCACAAGAATATACATTGATTACAGCTATGATGTGCCAACAAAAACAGCCATCTTGACAGTGAACCTCCCATCCTCCATTGTGGAAACCACCTATGATCTGAAACTAGACCTCAGTGATTACCTCGGGTTCTCACCTCCAGAGGGCGCTCAGCAGATAGATGGCGCTCGCTCCAGAGGGAAAACTCGGACTCGACTTGGTGCGTCATCTACACTGCTATTCATTTAAATTATGCTGATTCAACACAGTTTCATAGGGGCTTTACAGATGACGTCGTCTGCACTTGTTTTGCTGTCATGAGGGAGAAGAAAAAAGGCGGCTTGGTCATTGAAAAGGCTTCTGCTCAAATTCGTTTTGGGAAGTTTAAAATGTTGTTCGAGCCTTACGACCGTGATGATCAACTCGGTAATTAAATCATATACAGCTGAATGTCCAAAATGTTGAGAAAAAAATCGCAAGGCGCAAATACTTGAAAAAAATTTAATCTCAAATATTCGGAATATTTTAGAGATTTATTTGTCCAGGTAATCAAACGTAGAAATTAAATATTCTGCACAGTAATAAATTCTTGAAAATGATCCAAATGTTATCAAGTCTGTATCGATAACATCCTCGAAAATTCTTCCTGGGAATGCTACGAAAATTGAACATATATTCCAATGAAAATTTCACGGATGATTGATATGAATTTAAGACAATGTATAAAAAATATGAGGGCAGGGAATATTGTTTTACAAATAATCAACAGTGATTTTCCCCATTCAAAAAATATTCCTGTATTGTCAAAAATGTGAAAAATTCCATTCGACACCGACAAAATCAACTAAATGAACATTTCGGAGCTATAAAAACGAAAAAAGTCAATACGAACTCAAAAATGCTCAAACAATAAAATTGAGTGGCTCAGACGAAAATTTATCGAGCAGGTTCTTGTTTTCCTGTTTTCGCTCTATCGATTACAATCAGTCAAACTCAAGGTAAAATTATATTCAGGAAAATATTCCCAAAATGAAAGAAATTCCACGTACTGTTGAAAATTGAATGTTTGAAATTTCGCCAATTTATTTCAGCTCGTCTGATGAATATTGTGGCAGAAACCGATGGAGTGAAACCAATCGTGGAAAGCATGTCCATACCGATTGCTTCCAGAATGTCAGCTATGCTCGGAAACCTGTTCCATCAAGGCTGGAAACGTTTGAGCGACCTCTAAGCAGTTTCTCTAAAACTCAACCCTGTTTCCCATCTGATCAAAGCAGAAAGATGGCATTCCCTGGTACTGCGCAAAACCGGGGCTGATTTCAACACTTATAACAGTATTATGGGGCTGATTTGAATGACTGCGTGAAGGCATTTTGGGAACTCTTGCATTCTTTGGTGATATGACTTGGTACAATAATAAAACCTTATTCATCTTTGATTTCTTTCTTCTTGCATTAGCCACCCAAGTGTTACATCAGAAGATCCACCCAGGATGAGTGAATGCATGCAATGATTGTAATTTTAATTATGGGTAAATTTAAGGTTTCCAAGGAAGTTTTAGGATTATTGTAATGATAAATAATTGTTGTCTGAGATTGGCATGATCAAATCAAATCCTTGATCTTCAAATTGCGAACCAGCAGACAATTTTACTCCATCAAGGATACATTTTTCAAACAAAATAGACACTCATGTCTCTGTCATTTATCTAGTTTTCTGCATGCGTTCAAAGAGAACAAAAATACTCCAATGAGAGATTTTAGGGGGGTGTTTTTATTACAGTACTTTGTATAAACACAGCAATAGATTATACATTGCAGAGCACAGCCACAAGGACACGGTTTTGTGGCAAAGTCCAGTCACAGGAAACTTGCTCTAACATAGGCAAGTCTAGCAACTAATTTGAATTGGTGTAATTCAACCTGTAATTGTGGTGTAATTGTGTGTGTGTACCTATTGTTGCACAGCAAACAAAGAAAATGAGAATGATTGAGAAAGGTGTTCTGGTGTTGGAAAAAACTTTGGCATGCCGACAAGTTGGCGCCAGATTAAGTTAAATTACTGTTCTGCCTTGCAAAAATCTTGAGACAATTTAACAGCTTCTGCTGGAGCCTGGGAACCAAACCCAAGTTTGGTTCCCAGGCCCAGCAAGGACATCTTCTGAATAGAAATCTAATCCGCATCCTTCAACTCTTCCTTTCCTGATTTCCAAATTTTGGATGATTCTGACACTTGCATTAAAATTGTTGACCTGAGCAGATCTCAATGCAGAGAAGCTTTCCTTGCGCAAACTCCAAAATCTTGACCAAGCGTTGATCATCAAAAAATACAACTTTTTAAAACTAGGACTGGTGTTTCGGCCGTAGCCCGGCTAATCAATCAAGTTTTCATATTCTAATCAACTGTTCCTATCCAAAAGGCTTCATTTTATATCTTCTTGTTTCAATTGCACTTTCCAATCAAGTTTTCTATTCCTTGTTCAATCAGCTTTGTGAGTTTCTTTTGTCAGTTCGACATCTTTTTCTCACATCTGGGTTTTAGCAATGGATTGCTAAGTGCAGTTGTGCACCAAGCACAGCAAAGCTTAACAGAACAAGAAATAACAAGGGAACAATCCAAAATGCTACTTATACTTTGTAGTCATAGCATATGTGACTACCTAATAATGGATTATGAGCTTATTGCTTGTACATGAACCATCAGCAATTATCTCTCAGTCCTTCTTTAATATTAAAAAGTTTAAATCAATGTAATATTCATTTGTGGAAAGCTGGAGTCAAGATCAGATGCTCAAGAAGATAAATAAAATAGAAGAAGCCTAATTTAATTGATGTTATTTGATTTTGCATAAAATTAGATTTTCTCAGTCCTCTGGGGGAATCAGAAAAAAAATCCTACTACATTAGTAATAAAAGTTCATTGTTCAAGTTTTCCCAACAAATTTGATTTCTCTCCCTACCTCTTTGTTGAATTTAGTGACCAGTACTCAGTTGAAGCAAATCCATTGTATTCAATTTTCTTCTATTGTATTTACGTAATATACATCTAAATAAACGTCATTACAGACCTTGATCTGCTGCTTTGGATTACTCTGATCCTCAGCACTTAATTAAAACCATCGCCAACCATCAACAATTCTGAGAAGCTGAACAATACATAATATTCAACTTAGCTTTATTACAGTTTTGTTTTAAATTCTAGGAATCAAGAAAGAATGGAAATTCTCACACGAATATTCAACGCGCAATTCTTGCTCTATTGTCATGACCATGACATGAACACATTTGATGACTGCCTGATAATTAAAACAAAAACCTTTTTTTTTTTAAATAAGTTTATGCAAACAGTTGATCAAATTTTAAACGATCAGAAAGTTAACGTCACTTGTGGAGTGTGCATATAATTTTTTGGGGTAGATTTTTGAAAATATCTTAAAATCCAGAAATATTCATGGGATACGTGATTAATTTATTCTATGTTTTTTTCTGGAATACAGTATTGTAAAAATCACTGCTACTTGTTTTAATTTATGTTAAGGCACTTTTTTCACCTCATATACAAATTTGCACAACGTTGAGAGATGCATGGAAGAAATTTTGACAACGGTTGAAAAAATAGTGAGACTTTTGAAGAGCATCCGTTTGTTTTCAAAAAATTGACATAAAAATTAAAAATAAATTTTTGGTACACGAGAGGGTTGTTGGGATCGTTTTCCGTGTTCCACGTCGTTAATTATAATTACGGATACTGCGACAATTTAAATTGATTAAAATGACTGGACCCGGTTCATCAACGTCAGCCACGGAAGGGAGAAGCCATTGACCTGGAAATATACTAACGAAGCCTGATTGACCAGAAAAGAAAAAAAAAAATAACTTGATTGACTTATGTTCCCTTGAAAACAGGTTTCTTTCCCTTTGTTCGATTGGGATCTTTTCTGATTCGTATCATTCTGGAATAATCCCTTGCGATGCAGGTTTAAGTTGATTCCAGCGTCACATGCCTCAGTGTTTTTCTAGCCGTGTTTCAGAGCTGCAGTCTTTCGGCAAAGTAGAAAAAAATTGATCGATTGAAGAAATATTCAGTGCACCTTCAGAATTTTTTTCAGGCATAGATTCATTGGTTGGAATTCATATATGGAAACATGAAGTTTCAAGTGTGCATTTTGGCATTGGTTCTCTTGGCCGCAGTTTCCAGAGCTGGAAAGTTGCTGGATGGTCCTTATGGTGAGTCCAAATATTTTCTTCAATCCCTCTCATCTGGAAATATTTTCAAGTTTTCAAGCAAATGTTAACAAATGACAATAAAGTGAAATGATTGAAATACTAAAAATTAATTCTAATTTAAAAATCATTTGAATTATTCATCTTATTTATGAAATTTTTTGGAAATAATGTATAAACCAACTTGGATGCTTAAAAAATTCACAAGAGCTGTTATGTGTCAATAATTTTTTGATGAAAAGCAGCAGATTACTCACAGAATTGAGTTTTGCTGGAAGTGGTTACATGAGGATAAAATTCTGGCTGTGATGGGGTAAATATCACATATAATATTGAAAAATTATGTAAATACAGTGAGACCCCCACATACAGACACCCCATCATGCAGACAATTCAGCATAAGGACATTTATTTTCCAATGAAAAAGGCATAAAAAGGCCCAACGTGCAGACACTGACTTATAGTTGACATGCATAGATTTAATGATAAAGATTTCAAGAAGTTTTGGGGAAAGCGACTTCAAGCAGGCTGAATTGTAAGAAGCAAATATTTTTTTTAAACCCAGAGATCTATGCAAAAAAATTCTTTGGTATTTTCTTCATCATTTTCCCATCCATTCAGCTAATTGAAAAAATTAATTCCAGCATAGAGGGACTTCCTTCTCTCTTTGTGACTTGAATGTTATTTTCACAGATGCCAACATTTCAATGTGCCGTATTCAATGATCAAAGCTACAGTATTCAATGCTCCAAATGCTCTTATTAAGTTGTAAAATATTCCCTGAATCAATTTTAATTGGCTGACCATTTTTTTTCATGGAACTCTGATGAATATTTATTCCATGAAACACCAATTAAAATCATTTAATGGAAATAAATTGGAAAAAAAGACTCAACTCAGGGACATTTTGAATTAGGGACACTCTTGATGCATGAATTATGTAAACATATTGGGGTCTCACTGTATGTAAATACATGTTTTATTAGGTTATTGTGCAATTACATAATATTAAATATTACAGCAACATGTAAACAAAGTCAAAAAGAGTGGTGTCTTGCAGTATGAACACCAACACCTTGCAGAATGAACATTCTGCAGAAAAATGATTATAGGGTGACATGTTTCAACCCTCATACAACAAAAATGATTTGCACAAAAAACACAGTGCCTGAAAAAAGTTTTTCATTATTGTGTGAGATATATTCTTTATTTTAGAAAATATAATTGAGTATTCAGAGAAGGGATGAAGAATATTTGCATGTTTGACCTTGAATGAATTTCCAATTTTTTCTTGTACAAAACAGGACCAGATTTGATTAATTGCAAGAGAAACTGGGTGGAAGTGTGTGAGACCCCCAAAAGGTTCACAGATTGCATGCTGAAGCTCTTGTTGGCTAATGGCAATGAGCTGGTGACCAACCCTGAGGGGATCCCTCTTTTGGGGATCCCTTCTTTCAATCCCATGGTCATTGAGCGCTTTGACATGGACAGGACTGACCTCCCTGTCAAAGGATCTGCCACCAACATCAAAGTCTACAACGTTTCCAACAGTCTCAACCACGAAAATACAACAGTGACGTGAGCATGAATTCAATTGGTCACATAATAACTCACAGCATTTCTTGACTTACTCTAAAGTTTCTCATTTCTGATTTTTCATTTATTTTTTCAGGTTTGACCCAGAAAAGAAGCTGATGACAATCAAGGTGGCAGCAAAGCTGTTGTACATTGAGTGTGACTATGATCTGCAAATTGACATGGGAGGATTTTTGCCAACCCAAGAACAAACAAAAACATTCACCAGGACCACTGGCAAAATCAAGAATAACATGGGTACATTTTTCAGAAAAATTTAAGGGATGGTTCGAAAATTTTTGCATCATTCCCAACTGAATCAATTTTTGTGTTCAAGAGCGTAATTCAAAATCTCTTCTTGTTAAGCGTTTTTTTGAAATTCATGCAAATTTAAATATTTTCCTTTTATTCAAAATGCAGCCATGACTTGGAAAGAGCTGAATTTTTTTTAGATTATGGACTTTCTGAGAGGTTTTCAATGATTTGCTGTTTTTCCATAGAATTTAGTATATGCCATTGAAGTTAGAAAATGTGAAAGTTTGGCACTTGAATCTTGTTCTTTACCCTTAATGGCTAAATTCATTCATGAAACTCAATTTAAATTTTGTCACTATAAAATTTGAAAGAGCTTCAGAAAGCAACTGTTATTTAGAAATTATTATTCCTCAAAAGAAGCACATGACTGAAAAAGCTCATGAACCAACCCCAGTCCACAAACTTCATTTTGAAAGCTTTATATGCACATTTTTTTGGTTGGGAACTGGGATTTGATTATTTTTCCATATATGTTACAGGTGATGTAGTTGTCAAGATTTACGCCTACATGAGAGACAAGAAAGCTGGAGGCTTGATAATTGAAAAAGCTGTGGGTGACCTTGACATAGGTTCATCATCATCTCAGTTCCAATCAGATAATCCTGATGACCCCATAGGTGAGTCATTTTCATGGACAACAAGATTTATTATCGACCAATGAACACAGGTTTTGGAATCCTAGTTCAATGATTTTATAGCATCTGCATTTTTGCTTCTAAAAATAAAGCCTTGTTTTCTTATGTAACAGATATTATCAAAATGCTAATGATCATTATTCTTATTAAAATGAAAGTAAAGAAGGAAAATTTTGTTGATAAAATATAATACCTTTCCTAAATATTATCCCTTGATCATCCATGTGATAATGTTTTACCAGCTTCCTAAATTCTTCAAAAGAAGATTTTCACACAGGAAGGAACCAACTCCTTTAATTCCTTCAATTTTTATCCCCCCTCTCCGAAAAGCTTCATGTTTTGAATTTAATTACTTAAAACCGGTTTCTCGTTTTACCTTGTTATTGGTAAATGCAAGTTTCCTGAGAAAAGATGTAATCTGACGTTGAATCCTTATTCATTTCCAAACTGAGCAACCAATGCAAGTGTTGATAAATATTCAAGTTTATGTGGGAATTGTTAAACAATGTGATTCCAATGGCATGAAGATGATAGTTTTTGTGAGAATAATAATGAACTTAATGCAACTATAGAAATATTTCTTTCAGGAAGAAATACATTTATGGAGAAGAAAGAAAAAATATTTCAGTTTGTATTTGAAAGCTCATAAAAAGCGAATGCTTTATTCTTCAAAAATTGCTCAAAATTCAAATTTTTTTGTAGAAATCTAATATGACAGTTTTTTCCTGAATATACAGAAGAAACTTGTGCTGAAAAAAGGTTGCTCAGAGATTAATGATTTTTATTTGAACTTGGCCCAGAAAAATCTCCAAAAATCGGAATCTTTAATGTTCCCTCAATTCAAATACAGTGGCCCCCCGCCTAACAGACCTACCCTGCAAGAGATTTTTGCCAAACAGACCAGCTCTGCAAGCAGTTTTTCCTCCTGCCCAACAGACAAAATCCGCCAAACAGACTTCTTTTGGTTTAAAATTGGTGTTGAAAATTTAAATTTTTAATTTTTTATGTAATTGAATTTGTGTAAAGGACTTTTTGTCTAACAGACTTGCCCCTTGCACGAATCAAGTCCATTAGACGGGGGTTGACTGTATCCTTTTTGAGATTTATTTTACTTTGAAAATAGGAGAAAAGCTCTTCATCTGGCACTTGACATGTTAGATTCAAATTTCAATGAATCTGAAACTTAAACATTCAAAGAAAAAATGATGGTGATTCAATAATTCTCACATTTTTTAGGTGAAGTTCATCACAGAACTACCTTGAGATCGATATCACATAGATTTAATTATGCTTAATCATCATGTTAATTCTTCTCTCAAAATTGGAAACTGATTTTGCAAGTCTTCTTCCTAATATAAGTAATTTTTATCGAGTTTCCAATAACTCTTCCTTTTAATGACTTAAAATGATTTCAATTGTGATTTTAATTCAATCTGCATCAACAGCCAAATTCATGAACATCATTGCTGATCACGAGGCCATGGTTCCAATGATCAGAGGATTGTTGCCGCCATTTGCGAAACAATTCGCAGCCCTTCTTGGCAAATTGTATCACCAAGGATGGAAGCGATTGGAGGACCTTTGAAACCCACAACCTGACCTGACTCATTCTCTATATCTCTTGCTCCCACGCTTTTTTTTTTGCGCAGAAATATTCAAAACCTGATTCAAAAAAAAAGAAAAAGAAAAACCTTGTGTCTCGTGATCGCTTGCATGTTTCGATCGAATCACAAATAAAACTTTCAAAAAAAAGTGAAAACATATGCGTTCAGTCATTTTCTTGCGATTTTTGTATCAAAATATATTTACGATGAGTATTTATTGTTTCGTGTAACTTTTTTATTCTGCGGATTGAAAGTCTAACGAAAAATCACCCGAAAACGAGCAGAAAGGAAACGTGAGCAAAACTAATGAAGCCTCGAGGTTCTTTTTGGCAAAACACCAGCATAAAAAAAAAAAAAAACCCTGAAAAGTCACACGCACAAACTTTTCAAACTGGGTCATCAGCATGAAGGAAAAAAAAATAGAAATAAAGCGAGGAAAAGTTCGATTAAAGCCTGCCAAGCACGTGCGAATTTGGCTCATTGCCAAATACAAAACGGGTCTTTTTCTGTTAGGTCCTCACCTAAAAATAAAAAACGAAAATATATCGCGATCGTTTTCCTATGGTGTTTATACTCCTTCCTTTTTTTGTTGTTTATCGATTTTCCGTCTTTGAAAATGTCAACCGTCGGAAGTCTTGAATGTACTGACGAACTGCCAATTAAATTTTGCCAGTTCCGCCCTCAATTTCCGGTCCGGACGTTGGATAACTGCGGAAGTATTTTCCGAATATTCCCCAGAAAATTTTCTATCTTCAAGCATTTTTCAAATTTTATCCAAGGAATAATTCGGTTGTATCAAGAATGAGCTTCACAGAGTTTTGACTTTATTTCAAGGGACAAAAACTTTGAGTAAACAGATGTTGAAAGTATATAATTTATTTTTTAAATTTCACAATCACAGAAGAAAATATATGTTTCCATCGACTATCCCGGAAATGACGTAGAAAATGTTCGGGGAATATTTGCAATAAAGTCTAGACTCCAGAGAGAAACACAGTTGAAGAGCTTTTCGAGAGACCCACATTTTTTGGCGTGCCAAAAAAAAAAGTATGGCAGACCGACGACCCGAGGAGGTTCAGTCTTTTCGCGGTCGTCTCGAGAGCAAAAACTCGTGCCAAAGTCAAATCCAGGGTTTCATCATGTACCGGAAAAGGATTTAGCATAAATTGCGTTTCAAATTCAACATAAGGTTGGATGAGAGTGGATATTGTGAAGTGAAGGAGCTTTTGCCAATTTTATCAAGATTTTCTTTTTCGGCGTGGCTCAAAAGTCTTCGTGTGTGTAAATTTAAAAAATATTTCCTTATACAATGAAGAATTTTGAACGTTTTTGTAGATCGTTTTTTGTTGCAAATTATCATCCACACTTTCAATTTTTCATTAAAATTCTCTCGAAGATAAGACAATTAATGCATTAAAATAATTTCCAAGTGCAGACAACTGACATCTTCAAACCAAACCATAAAAATTGCCCTGGCCTTTCAAAATTTACTTTTGCAATGCCGTGATGATAATGTGAAAGATGCCTTTTTATGTGAATTTCAAGAAAATAATTTCCAAATTAATGATTTAACTCAAAGAATTTTAAACAATCACTTGTTTTCAGTGTTTTTTCTCATCCAAAACTGTGTGCATTCAAAACATTTTATTCCTGAATCTGGCATAAATCTTCTGTCAACCCCTCATCCTATATTTTTGAAAATAAGCATTTGCTTGGAAAAAAATTACAGAGGAAGTGTCAAGAAATTATTGGAACTTATTATTTCATCAAGATAAAATCTTGAAAAGAAAAGAACCAATGTGGTATTTTTATAGGGTCCTACAGCAGAATAAAAACAGCCTTGTTTGAGTCCTGATATGACCAAATTTATTGGAAGTACAGGTAGAATATCATCTCAACAAATCCTTGTGATGTAAAATTTTGACGAGACTATAGCCAGAAAAGTATGACAAACTACTTTCTTGCTTACTGCTTTGAAATAATTCAATAAATTATTCTTTAAAATTATAAAAGTGACTTGCATCAAGTAAGAAAATCCAGACCATTTTAACGCAGGTAATTCTTACACAATTAATTTTTTTGATACAGTGGAAAATTTTTTTTTCTAAAGTGGAGATACAGTAAATCACTGAATATCATATTGAAAATTGAAACTTCAAATTCAGGATATAGTCTTATTTCCATTATATTTTCAGAATGTGGCTTCACAGGCATCATGTTCCCAGTCACCACCATAATCCCAAAACAATCCCCAAACCATCAGAAAACCACGATGAAGAAATCTACTTGATGACTGCTGCCTTTTGGCACTCTGCGCTTTTCCTCGCTGCATGTGGCGCCCTCTGGTTTACATGGGCCAACTTGGCTCCCCTGGTCGCCGCCATGTTGGCTGCTGGACTCGCCTCCGCGGTTCTCCACCCAGTTAAAACAGCAGTTGCTGAAACAACTCGGGTTGTCGTGTTTGGAACCGGTTATTGTTACAACAGTGGTTCATCCCATCATCAGACACTGGCCAAAAGCAAGACGAATTTGGTCAAGAAAGTTTCCCAGGGCGGGATTCTGGCTGTGGAGCGTTTGTGTGGCGCCGCTCGCAGTTTCTACATGGCTCTTAGCATCGCCTCACTCGTTCACTTGACTCAATCAAGTCAGTTTCCTGGCAATAAAAACTCGATGTTAAACCGGAATTACCTGCTGTAATGAAATAATCCGAAATCTCCTACAATAGGAAAAGATAAAATTCCAATTGCAATAATATCCACCGCAATTATTTGTAAAATAGAATAGAGGTGGTGCCCTGCAATTTGCTGACCCTAAACTACAGTGGCCCCCGCCTAACAGACCTCCTGTGTAAGGGATTTTTGCCAAACAGACCAGCTCTGCAAGCAGTTTTTCCTCCCGCCCGCAACAGACAAAATCCGCCAAACAGACTTCATTTGGTTTAAAATTAGTGTTGAAAATTGAAATTTTTAATTTTTTATGTAATTGAATTTATGTAAAGGACTTTTTGTCCAACAGACTTGTCCCTTGCCCAAATCAAGTCCATTAGACGGGGGTTGACTGTATTTCTGGACTACAATCAAATTGCAAAGCAACGTCAAATGCCTTGATTTTTACATTGTATTGGACAAATTTGCCCATTTCTGTGGGTCAAATTGATGGGCTTATAGGTAAAATTGCAAGTCAACCTCCCAGTAAATTTGTTCATCAAATTGCAGGATGGTCAAATTGTGGGAGGTCAAATTGCGAGGTACCACCTGCACTTAATAAGACATCAAATGGAATTAAGTTGCTATTTTCATTGATTGCATCATCCATGATGAAAAAAAAATCAGCTGAATATGCAGCAGTAAACTTCTCTTGCAACAGATGCATAAAAACTTTCTAATTATGAATTTTTTCTTGGGTTTGGCAGTTTTTTCTGGGAAATTTTTTTCGCCATACTAATTTTCCTTTAAAATATCATCATATAACAAAGTTTTCACCTGATCACCTGTGCATTAGCCAAATACAATTTTCTTATTGGCATAATTTTGGGAACCCCAAGTTATTGTGCATGAGTGAAAAACTGAAAAAAATGTAAATTTCAGTCCATCAACAGAAAATTTAGCATTTAATGCAGGAAGTTTGAAGCTCAAATTCAAATTAATTTAGCTTTAACTCAGCACTTAGAAATGGCTATTTAAAAAACAGAACATTTCAGAAAGGGAAACTCTGAAATGAGATTGTTGTATTTCATATTTTGAATTTTTCCCCATTATTTTTTAAAAATTATTTGTAACTTTGGGCAATTCTTCACATGTATGCTGAGGGACTACAATTGGGCATATCTATTATACCTGTTTCTTACACAATTTTAGCCATACATGTTGAACAAACCAATATTCTCAATATAAAAAATTTCTCAGTTCACTGGGAGTTTATTATTGTTCACTTGTGCAGTAATGAGATTTCACTCTATCATGAATATCACACTCAATTTTCCTAAAAATAAGTTGATGATATTATCTTCATCATCAAACAGAAAGTTTCAGGAAAAATGCGAGGAAGACCTGGAGAAATTACATAGAACCTCTGAGAACAGAAGAAAAAATCCTCCTGGTCAGTTTTCTTGTTGTTTTTTTTCCTTTCTGTCCATTACAATAATTGTTCAATACTTCTACAGGGTGCTTTCATAAGTACTGCAGCTTTTATATTAGCGTACTTGTACCAAACCAACAAGGCCACAGAAAAAGCATCTACAAAAAGTGAGTTCATGCTCAAATTAGGAGAAATTCGAATTTAAAGTTTTATTCCCATATTTTTTTTTTCTAGGAAGAAAAACGTCTGCTGACAAAAAAAGAACCAAGAGGTCGAATGAGTCAAAAGAGGAGCTTATTTTGAAGCCTAAAAACATTCTTCAACGTTTTCAGGAATGCTTGCAAAGTTTCCTCAAGGTTCCACCAAATTTTTCTCTTGCAAATTAAAGAAAAATAATAACCCTGAGTAATTTTCTTCCCAGAAACTTGACAAGAAGATAAATTCTTATGTTGAAATGACCATTGAGAAGCTTGCAGAGGTTTTGGGGCTGAAAGAAGTGCCCAAACAATTGCTGATGCTCATCAGGGAGAAAAGCCCCTCCAGGAAAGTTGATGTTCTGTCAGTGCCAAGAACTTTCACTCACTCAAAGTACAAGAGACACAGGAGGGACTCTGAGAGACGCTGCAGTTTACCAACAATTTCCGAAGATGTCGCTTCCAAAAGCGCAAACCGAAATTCTCTGCAAACTAAGGTACTGTTCATGTACAACTTTGATGTCCAAAACACAGCATGATTGTAAAGATGTAAGATGCACTGCTTGTTCTCATACATTTATTTGTAACTCTTGAAAACTTTATAATTTTCATGTGACATTTTTTTTAGAAAAGAATTATATTAGTGTCAGATGATGTGCTTGAAAATTTGAATACTAAACCTGGTGTTGCAAAGCCGAGATAATATTTTTGCAAAATTGTGTGCCATTGAACACTGGAAATTGAAAAAATCCTACTTTTGTACCAATAAGGCCAAAGTCAGGAAAAATTGCAAATTTTTTTCTTGATCTTGCAGAAAACATCAAATGAAAAATAACTTGAAGAATCCCTCACTGGCTAGTGTTTTCTCCTGCATTCCTGGCATAGGAT